AGAGAAGGAGCAGATCTTTGGCCTTTTTTGGTTCAAGGCTACTTTGGTGTCCCTGGCATTAAAAAAAAATAAATCTTTCATATAGTCTATTCCAGCACAGCAGAGTTCTAATTGGGACCTTACATTGTTGGTTACCCTTCAATGCGTGGCTCTCTCTCCTTGCCCCTACCTCTTCTCTCTTTCAGAGGTTACAACTGATTAAAAGCAGGACATGAGTACTATTGGGTTTTATAATGAAAATACCACAACATCTCCTTAGGATATTCTATTTATTCCTAGTATTAACAATGAGAGAAAAAAATTACTTTTATTTTACTTCTAGAAAACATAAGCTTCTCACTTCTCCAGAATGTTTTCCAAAGAGGGGTCTATGAAAAAATGAAGACAAATAATGTTACTACCATTAGAGGTCATTTGTACCACAAAAGGGATTTTGCAGATGCAATGAGTTACACTAATCAAATGATCTAAAATAGTGAAATTATCTGAGTGGATCTAACCTAATTACTGAAGCCTTTTGAAAGCAAAGACTTTTCTCAGCTGATAGCAGAAGGGAAAGTCAGAGAGATTTGAAGTATGAGAAAGATTCACCATGAAGGAGGTTCTCTTGCTGGGATGGAGGTGTCCACAACAAAGGACCTAAAATGGCTTCTAGGAGCAGAGAGCAATCCTTAGCCAATAGCCAGTAAGAAGATGGGCACCTCAGCCCCACAGCTGCAAGGAACTGAATTCTGCCAACAAGGATCATCTTGGAAGTAGATTCTTTCCAGAACTTTCAGATAAGAGCCCAGCCTGGCCAAAGAATCCAATGTAATCCACCCAGACTTCTAAGCCACTAAATTTGCGGCCATGTGTTATGCAGCATTAGAAAGCTAACACAATTAGCAACTTGGAAACACTGAAGTAAGCGTAATCACACAGAAACCACTAGAAAAGATGAGCTTTCCTGTGGAAGGCATACAAAAGAGAAGGCTGTATGAAAAAGCCTTGAGAGACGCCTACAATTAAGAGTATTTTTTTAAATAATACCGATAATATATGGATTAAGATCTACTCCAGCATTAAAACTATGAAAATACTCTATTGATAATGTGAAAATAACCAGACCGCAAACACTTTCATCCACCTGTCTCTTCATTTACCCACTTCCACAAGACACTCTCACTCATGTGTGCTCTTTTTGTTGAATCGCTATTGCAATAACTGAAACATAATTTTGCATTTTTCTACCCACATACAAAGATTTACTGCATAAAGGAGAAAACATTACAAATAACTGAATTCTTGGGGCGCCTGGGTGGCTCAGTCATTAAGTGTCTGCCTTGGGCTCGGGTCATGATCCCAGGTCATGATCCCAGAGTCCTGGGATCGAGCCCCCCATCAGGCTCCCTGCTCAGTGGGAGGCCTGCTTCTCCCTCTCCCACTCCCCCTGCTTGTGTTCCCTCTCTCGCTGTCTCTCTCTCTGTCAAATAAATAAATAAAATCTTAAATAAATAAATAAATAAAAATAAAAAACTGAATTCTTAAAGTTTGTTTGTAATATCTGAAAGAATGGGGTTTAATTTTGTAGTCCTAAAAAACTGAATTTCCTTGAGTCACTATTATAGCAAATATGAACCCAATTAACTTCCTAAGTAAAAACAGATGATTTTTATCATAATTCCTATCAATATCTTGCTTGAAATCTTCATGAAGTTTTTTTCTCCCTAAGCCTTGTTTTACACTAGTATTAATTAAATCAAAAGCTACAAAATCATTAATTACATAAAAGCTGGCATTGAATAACATCCATTAATCAAACATAAGACAACCTCATATGTGCATAATTAATAACTGTTTTCTCACTACATCAAAGACTATCGCCTTTCCACAAAATTTTAATCACTTCCCAACATATTCCCATCAACTTAATTATATTTGAACACAAATATAAAAAAATAAGAAAACTAAGGCAGTTTTAAGGCTTCCCAAGTTACAATTTATTAAGATTTGGTAACTCAAAAAAATTCCAAGAAAATGAGCCACTCACGCAACTAATATAGAATTCATCACTGGAAAATCTTATGAGAACTGATGTAATTATTTAGCTTTTGAATGATTAAAAGAGAGATTTAAAGCAATACTACACAGATTTAACAAAACACGAAAGTTATCAAGGGCTTCCCAGCACATCAGTCAATGACACACAGATGGGCTCTGGGTCTTGCAGGTGACTGAATCACCTGATCATGCATGGAAAGAAACCACAGTCATGAGACATCAAAACAAGATGTGTAAAAGAAAAGCTCAACTCTAGTTAGTTTTGTTTCCTTAACTCATCAGCATGGAAACTCACCTAAGTTTTAACTACCTGGCCACTAGCAGAATGATTCTATTTCTCTTTTCTCACTCTGTAATTAATCATTACTTTCAGAACAAGATTATGTTCATAACGTCTTGTACACAAACTGATCAACTGTATGCTGGATGAGAAGTCAAAGGTTTCCCAGCCCAGCGTTTCACCTCGGACACTCTATATGTTATAAATTTGTAGAAAGCAATGCTACCCTCCATCAAGGGTTCTCGGCTGGGGAGTCTTTCAAAAAAACTGCCGGTGTGTAGGCCTCTCCCCAGAATAAGTAAATGAGAATCTCTGATGATGACCCTATATAATTTTAACCACAAAAGGACAGGACTATATTAGAAACTTTTTTTTTTTACTTTCCTTAATATTTAATTTATATTTTTAGTTTTAATCACCTTTTGTGATAATATAGTCCAAGGTTTACTAAAATTGCTTTTATTTTTCTTAAAATTCTCTTGTTAAAGCTTCCGAGGCATCCCTTTGGAAGAAAAGGCCCATTTGCAACTCTCAGCACACCCCTCCTATAGCTGCATTGTTTGTAAGACTGTGAAATTGCACCGTGTGTGTGCATGTAAGTGTATGTACACACTCATATATATACACATACAAACAACATACACAAACATATATATTCTTAAAAAAAAAGCACAACATGGCCACGATTTAGAACTATTTCTATGTGTTGACAAATGCTGGTCTTTTATAAAAGTAAAAATGGTCTGGATTATTGTAAATTCTTCTCTTCGTGTGGTTCAGAAGTACACTCGAATGTGGGCCATATTTCAGATCTTCAGAAAAGAATAGTCTAGAAGAGCTCCTGTCTTGAAGTCCACATCTAGGCCACAGGTACAGTTAGGAGTTGCCTGCAGTTATATAAGCCTCTTCTGTTCATGGACTCCTAAGATTTTCCCATATTTTAGCTATAGTTCATCACTCTGAAAAGCCTGCAATCACCTAAAATTGTGCATTTGTTTTTCTCCAGAATTATTTAGACCATTAAACAAGAAGCCAAAAAAATCCCTTGAAGTCTACTGTAAATAATAGTATTTCTTTACCCAGACAATCTATCATTTATCACAAAGAAATTCAATGACACTGAACTTTATGTTGCTTTTAGAAACAAGAAAATTTTTTGATCTATAAAAGGTTTCTTTTTCTTTCTTGTCCCCATCATTACAAAATGGGCCACACCAAATGAGGACACAGGGTCAAGATCAGCATTATTCCTGAATACAGAATTAACTGTAAAGTATCATAGAAGAAAGGATGAGGGCTCTCAGATTAAAGGTCATTAGACCACGGTCAATTTTCAGTTAGTACCTGTCAGTAGAAGTAAATGTAAGAAAACATATATAAAAATACCTGTTCTACTTGCTGAACATGAATTGTAATTTGTGCTAAATAAAAGTAGGTATACTAATTTTGTGCTAAACAAAAGTAGGTATATACTGTAGGTATATACAGATGTAATTTGTACTAAGTAAGTATCAATCAACAAAACAAGTATCTGCTAAAATGTAAAAATAACTAGGTGCTACAGATCATGGAAAGAAGTACAGATTTTATTTTATTTATTTATTTATTTTTTAAAGATTTTATTTATTTATTTGAGAGAGAACACATGAGAGGGGGGAGGGTCAGAGGGAGAAGCAGACTCCCCGCCGAGCAGGGAGCCCTATGCGGGACTCGATCCCGGGACTCCAGGATCATGACCTGAGCCAAAGGCAGTCGCTTAACCAACTGAGCCACCCAGGCGCCCAGAAGTACAGATTTTAAGCTAAGATGGAATCAACTCATCCGCTGCCAACATTTTAGAGAAGAAACAAGGCTAGACAGGCACAGGACTCTCAAGTCACCAGTCGAGGACAGGGCTAGAACCCCTAACTTCCTATTCTAGAGCCTTACACTGCCACTCTACATTTAGATTGACATTGTCTACAGATAAAGATTAATACAGAAGGGCCATAGATACATGTTTGACACTACCAATAACCTGTACTAAAAGTTTGTTAGTTTTTTGCCCCTCCTAAGATTTTTGAAGAAAGAGGTTGCGCTCTTAGCGGTCAAGAGCACCAGGCTCCAGAAACACTCTCCTTGGGTTCAACTGCTGGGCTGCCATTTACTACTCTGTGGCCTTATACAAGGTATTTGAATTCTGTATGCCTCAGCTTCCTACTAATCTATAAAACAGGGATAATAACAATACCATAGGATATTGTGGGGAATAATTTGATACCTATAAAGCAATTAGGACAGTGCCTGTCACATAGGGATTCCACAAATATGAAATTCTCTCTCACTACATAGATTTTTCTGGGCTTACCGGAGTAATCATCACTAAGTCCCTGGACTCCTTTTATGTGCTCTGTACACAATACATAGATACGTAGATACGGCAGACACAGAAATGTCCATACTGCCCCGAAGAGCTCCACGACAAAATTCCTGAAATCATGAATCATGAAACCAGATTCAATTTTTATTTCTACTTCTAACTGCTAGCATATTGAGAAGTTAGTTTCCTAGGTTTGGCCTTTCTATGAAATGGGTACAACAAAGCCTGCCATCAGTCAAGTTACTATAAAGCTGAGACAATATGCCCTGGGAGCAGCTTAGAGCACAAGGTGTTTCACAGATCTGTGAATATAAAACTTACTGTTCAGAGTCATAGTAGTCCATACGCTTCTTTTTCTTGTTGTAAGCTGCAACTCGGAAGGGAACTATTTCCAAGGTGATTAGGCCAGGGGCCATTGTCAGCACTTTGGCACCATGAGTTGGCTCATAAAGATCCTTCCCTGTTTCTGGATGAGGCATGCCAGCAGGGTCTCGTCCAACAATGTAAAAATTGGCTCCTGCAACCATCCGTGCTCGGCAATGCCACTGGACCTAGAATAAAAGTTTTCATATTTGATAACTATGCTTTTATGTCAGTACTTAGAAGTAGTAAATGGATAATAAATGCATGCATACAGACGGCCCCAAACTTAAGGCCCCCAACTTTATGATGGTGCAAAAGTAATACACACATTCAGTAGAAACCATACCTCTAACTTCAAATTCTGGTGTTTTCCCAGGCTAGCAATATGCAGTAGAATCCTCTCTGATGATGCTGGGCAGGGACGGTGAGCCACAGCTCCCGATCAGCCACACAATCACGAGGGTAAACAACCCACACACTTACAACCATTCTGCACCCATACGATCTGTTTTTCACGACCACTCTGTTTTTTCACACTCAATACAGCATTCAATGAATTATATGAATTATTTAACACTTCACCATAAAATAGGCTTTGTGTTAGGTCAATTTGCCCAACTGCGCTAACATGAGTGTTCTGAGCACATTTAAGGTAAGCTAGGCTAAGCTAGATGTTTGGTAGGTTAGGTGTATTAATTGCATTTTTGACTTAATGTATTTTCAACTTATGATGGGTTTATCAGGACATAACATCATCATACGTTGAGAAGGACCTGGACTACTTATAGAATGAATATCAGTACGAAATCTCAACAAGTTTAAATATGTCATCTTGGGAAGCTAGACACAAAACTGGCAAGCCCACCCCACCAAAATCTAAAAGCATAAATGTGTATAGATGTTTATGTATATGTATTTATAAATATTTTTGGCTCTTTAAGAGATATGTAAATGTACATGTGTCTATATGTATGATTGTACATAACCACATGTCATTTATATATAGTTCAAAATCTAGTCTATTAGAAGTCAGGCTAGCAGTTGATCCTTTGAGGGAAGCAATTGGAAGGTGCTTCCAGGATGATGGTAATGTTCTTTTTTGCCCCCCAGATTTACTGAGTATAATTGACAAATAAAACAATATATATCTGAAGCGTACAACATGATTTGATAGATATATATTGTTAAATATTCACCACAATTAAGTTAATTAACACATCTATCACCTCACAGTTACCTTTGTGTGTATGTGTGTGGTGAGAACAATTAGGATCTACTCTCAGCAAATTTCAAGCATATAATATAGTATTATTAACTATAATCACCAAGTGCAACACTCGACCCTCAGAACTTACTCCTTATAATTGAAAACTATGCTTTGAATTGAAAATTACAAGATGGATCCTTCGACAAACTTCAACAAGTAAGAGCTTGTACCTAATCCATTTTGATGTTACCTCTAAGAGTCCCTGGTAATGTTCTGTTTCTCGATCCAGGATCTGGGTGCTGGTAATTAGAGTATGTTCACTATAAAAATTCACTGAACTGTACATAAACTTGTAAGGTACACACTCTTCTCTATGCTATATTTGAATAGATTAAAAAAAAAAAAGCTACCGGAGGAAAAGGATTTCAGTTTTATGAATCCTTACATACATTGGCACTGAGAAAACCCTATAGCTAAGTGACTCCTACCCAAGATACCCGGTAAGAAGAAAACCGGGTGTTGGTTGTGACTCCGCAGCTACGCTGCATCCAAAACTAGCTCTGAAGCTGATGCAGTCACACTAGCACTTGTTGAAAATTTTTAAAAAATTACTCATTTAACATCCAGAATTGTAGTACTTTAGAAGTTAAAGTAACCGTACAGAGATCATCATTCTGATTAACATGAAGAAACTGATCGCCCAAAGGTTAAGCGACTTCGTCAAGAAAGTGTAGAGGAAACCCAGGTCTAGAAATCTGGCCTCACCTCCCTTTCAGTGTTAAGCTCTACCACTTAGTAACCTACAAAACCATTTCTGGTCTAGGTGAAAATAAGATATAAATGATGACCACCCACACACCATTGTCATTTGCTCTCTCTTGACAGTTTGTCTTATACCAAGACATATTTTTATTGACATAGTTTAGAAAGTGCAAGAGCATAAGGACAATCCCAGACCCCACACTCAAACTGATCACCCTGAGGAGTTGCAGCTTTTTCAGTTGTTTCTAGTGATATTTACCTGTGTGTGTGTGTGTGTGTGTGTGTTTTTAAGATTTTATTTTTAAGTAATCTCTGCACCCAACATGGGGCTTGAACTCACAACCCCGAGATCAAGAGTTCTGTGCTCCACTGACTGAGCCAGTCAGGCGCCCCTGTGTTTCTAAATGGCACGTGTATACTGCTGATTTGACTATTTAATTTTAGATATTATATTACTTCTACATTATTTATATTTCCTAGTATGAAGATGCTTGACTCTTACTCCATTCTCCTCGTTCCCTATCCCATTTATCCAATAAATACAGTGATATCACCACTGTTGGTGAAATCAACACTTGTCTGTAAAAGGGGAATTACAATTGTATTTATCTCATAAAATTTGTAAGAAAATTAATATGAAATGTAAGGGCTTAGAATAGTACTTGGTATAAAGTACATAAAAAATGTCAGCCATTACCATCTTTACTTTATTCCCCTCCTTGTACAACTGTTTGTTCTTCCTAGAGTTAATAATTGTCTTGACTTTTTTTTTCACTCACCTGTTTTTCCATATACCTGTATTTCTAAGGACCTTATACTACCTTTCTTCCTGAGAACACAATTTAATATAATCCCTATTACTCCTTGCAGTGTAGCCATGTGGCAGAGTTTTGGCCAAAAGAATGACAGCCCAAATGATATTTGCCAGTTCCAAACATGGAACATTTAAAAACCTCCTGAGTACTATCCTAGTTCTCTTTCCCCATATGTTAGCTAAATAAAGAGGACCCCAAGGTCCTGTCACTCTATGTTTTCTACTATGCAGCATTACCACTGTTTGCAATGAGCTGTAATAGTTCTGTATGAACAAGATGGCAAAACACAATGGTAGAAGATCTTTGTTCCTCATATATGCCACCTCTTCCTCCAACCACCTTCAGATTCAGCGCTTCATGAAAATTCTGCTCATTCCCCTCTGCCCCTTCACTGTAGACACACAAGACCTTTGCTAGTCCAGACTCAGAATTTTTATCAAAGGGTCAGTCAAAATCAATCATCAATTAACTACTTTGCAGCTTCACTTAAGTGGAAAATCATTTCAGCCTCATGCAAATTAGCTGCTGCTTTCAGAGTTAAATTAAAAAGGGCAATCGAAGTTCTCTGAATTTAGGTGAACTTATTATGCTCATTAAATATTTATATCTATATACTTAATTCATTCAAGTACCAAATGGTCAATGAACCAAGGATGTATGGCTTAATTTGAACATGGAAGGAAGCTCAGATCATTTAATCCAACCCTCTCTGCCCTTTTAAAAGGAGAGGAAACCAAAGCCAGAAAAATTAGTACCTTACAGGATCACAAAGCAACTGGCAGTGGCCAGTTCTAACTTTGGCTTATAAAATAGCCAGGAAATTTAATTGCCTCTTTAATTTCTTCTAGAGGTTAAATGAGTAAATTAAAGGTAAACACAACAAACATGGACAGAGTCAACATTCTCCTGCAAGTGACTGAATAATTTTAATTTACATTCTAGGAAATGGTTTCCCTATGAGAATACTTTTTAAAACTGGAACAACCAGGAATAAGCAAATCACATGTAGCTCTTCCAAGAATGCCTGGTGTGAATCAACTTACAACCCACTGAAAAGATAATATGCTTTAATCAAAAGAAATGCAAGTCAGCCCATAGCCATCCCCCGTATCTGGTTTAGGAACACAGGCTTTTGAATCAGACTGTCCTAGATTTAAATCCTGGTTTTGCACTTTAATGTCAGAATGCCCTTAGTCAAGTTTGGACTTGAAACTGAAGCCTCGGTTTCCAAATTTATAAAATGGCAAAGGTAATGTTTAACACATCAGACTGGTGGGAGATTTCAAAACACTCAAGACAGCACTTAGCCCTCAACAAAGGACAGTCACAAACACTGCCACTGTTACTATTACTCTGTGAAACAGTCCATGACAATTCCGGTTGCATTTAATTGCTTCCTAGCCAGTGTTTCTAAAGAAGATTCATTTGCTCTATGAAAAAGATGACATGCTGCCTAGAAGGTGGTCACTAAAACCCTGTGAGCGCTGCCTGTTTCTCTCTCCAGCACATGAGGTCAAGATGTACTATCTTTTTATGCCCAGTGGCAAGCAGGTTTGGAATACTGAATGCATATGAAGAAGGAATACAGTGATGTCCACAGCTTTCCTATAACGTCTTCTAAGAATCTGTAAATGGCCAACCTAACAAGTGACTTATTTTCTACTTTACTTGCATCTGCGTGCCAAATAACAGATTGGCTTTTTTTCTGATTACAAAAGTAATTTAACTCCTATGTGGCAAATAGTGTTGGTTGCCTATACAAACAACTGATTTTTCTTTGCCCTGATCTATTTCTTGATGAAAGAAACCACAGTCTAGAAGATGAAAATGTCAGGTCCTTGTTTTTGCAGCCTTCCCTGCTGTACAGCCATACGGCCATACAGTGTGGGGATCTGAGCAAATAATGGGACCTCTGAGGAAGTCTGCTGGAAGAATCCGGAAAACCTTTTCCCTAATAAAATTCTCAACTCTCATTTATCTGAAAATGTCTTTACTTCACCTTTATTTTTGCTTGAATATAGAATTCTAGATTAACAGACATTTCTTTTTGTTTTTCTCTTAAAGATGTTACTCCATGTTTCTGGTTTGTATTGCTCCTGAGAAGTCAGCCATCATTCCTATTTCCCTACTGTTTCCTCTTCCTCCCTCCCTGCTTTGCCTTTTTTTTTTTTTTAAGATTTTATTTGAGAAAGTGTGCAAGCGGGGAACGGGGGGGGGGGGCCGCAGACTCCCCCACTGAGCATGGAGCCAGACAGGGGGCTCGATCTCATGACCCTGAGATCTCATGACCTGAGCTGAAACCAAGAGTCAGACCCTTAACCCCCACTTAACCAACTGAGCCACCCAGGAACCCCTATAGCTTTGCTTTTAAGGGTCCTCTTTATATCATGAAATTTCAGGAGAC